CACACTCACACACATTCACACACACACACGCACGCACGCACACACGCACTCACACACACACACACACTCACTCTCTCACACATACACACACATGCACACACACACATTCACATACCACACACTCACACTCACACATACACTCACACAGTCACACACACACGCACACACATACACACACACATTCACATACAACACACACTCACACAGTCACACACACGCACACACATACACACACACATTCACATACAACACAGACACACACACATTCACACACACACACGCACGCACGCACTCACACACACTCTCTCACACATACACACACATGCACACACACACACATTCACATACAACACACTCACACTCACATACACTCACACAGTCACACACAGACACACACACACATTCACATACAACACACTCACACTCACACTCACACAGTCACACACAGACACACACACACATTCACATACAACACAGACACACACATTCACACACACATGCACGCACATACACTCTCTCATACCCACACATACACACATGCGCACACACATTCACATACAACACACACACTTACACATACACACTCACATTCACACGCACACACACACTCACACATACACACACGCGCACACACATACACACACATTCACATACAACACACACTCACACTCTTAAACATACACACACTCACATTCACACACACATGCACGCACACACACACTCTCACACATACACACACATTCACATACAACACACACTCACACATACACACACTCACACATTCACACACATGCACGCACACACACTCTGACACATACACTCACAGTCACACACACACGCACACACATACACACGCACACACATTCACATAGAACACACACACGCACACACATGCACGTGCACACACACACAGTCACACATACACACACGTGCACACACACATTCACATACACACTCACACTCTTACACATACACACTCACACGCACACACACATTCACATACTCGCACACTCACGTATGCACACTCACACGTGTACAAGCACACNCACACTCACACACATTCACACACACACACGCACGCACGCACACACGCACTCACACACACACTCACTCACTCTCTCACACATACACACACATGCACACACACACATTCACATACCACACACTCACACTCACACATACACTCACAGTCACACACACACACACGCACACACATACACACACACATTCACATACAACACACACTCACACAGTCACACACACACACACGCACACACATACACACACACATTCACATACAACACAGACACACACACACACGCACGCACGCACTCACACACACTCTCTCACACATACACACACATGCACACACACACACATTCACACACACACACACATTCACATACAACACACTCACACTCACATACACTCACACAGTCACACACAGACACACACACACGCACGCACGCACTCACACACACTCTCTCACACACACACACACATTCACACACACATGCACGCACGTACACTCTCTCATACCCACACATACACACATGCGCACACACATTCACATACAACACACTCACACTTACACATACACACTCACATTCACACGCGCACACACATACACACACATTCACATACAACACACACTCACACTCTTAAACATACACACTCACATTCACACACACATGCACGCACACACACACTCTCACACATACACACACATTCACATACAACACACACTCACACATACACACACTCACACATTCACACACATGCACGCACACACACACTCTCACACATACACACACTCACACATTCACACACATGCACGCACACACTCTGACACATACACTCACAGTCACACGCACACACATACACACGCACACACATTCACATAGAACACACACACACGCACACACATGCACGTGCACACACACAGTCACACATACACACACGTGCACACACACATTCACATACACACTCACACTCTTACACATACACACTCACACGCACACACACACATTCACATACTCGCACACTCACGTATGCACACTCACACGTGTACAAGCACACACTCACTGTCACATATAGACACACTCACATGCACGCACACACACACTCACAGTCACACACAATTCACACACACTCTCATCACACTCACGTATGCACACTCACACGTGTACAAGCACACACTCACTGTCACATATAGACACACTCACATGCACGCACACACACACTCACAGTCACACACACTCTCACCACACACACATTCACATACTCGCACACTCACGTATGCACACTCACACGTGTACAAGCACACACTCACTGTCACATATAGACACACTCACATGCACGCACACACACACTCACAGTCACACACAATTCACACACACTCTCATGCACACTCAGGAGCCTGGCCTCACCTGCTGCATGGGGTCCTCCCGTGCACTGATTCTCATGGGAGGCTGACTGCCACAGGGCATCTTACAGTCAAGCCAGACTGAGCTCGCACCCAACAGGTGTGCTGAGGCCTCAGCAGAGGGTGAAGACCAACCTGCACCCCACGCACGGCCTGCAGGACCTGCCGCCAACCCAAGAGGGGAACACACAGGGGATAAGGCCTAGACACACCCAGGCTGGCTTGGGCTGCCGCGCCTTCCCAAGTGTGAGGGCCGTGACACAGAAGAGCCAGCCCCTGAGGATGCCAGCACCAGAGCCAGCATTGACATCTTGCTTGGGACCTGCCGGGAGGCACACACCTGGGGATCCTCCAGGAGAAAGGAAGTACTTTTCCCACTTAGGAACCGATGTGGTGCTAAGGCCAGTGGCTGCTGTCCTGTGTGCCCTGTTCCCAGAGGAGCCAGTCTACAGCCTTGTTTATGCAAAGCAGCATCTCCAAACGGGGACAGGGTGGCAGAGGAGGAAGAGTGTCCAGACCTCCTTTTTGAGCATCCGGAAGCTCTCTCCGTGGCTGTGCTGAGGGTCCTGGCACCCTCTTCCCCGAGGTGTGAGGCCCAAATGGCAGTGGGCACCCTCCCACACAACCCTAAGGAGCCTCCAGGAACAGCAGAGAAGGCAAGTGCTGAACAGAAACACCAGGCCCATGAGGGCTCGCCCACCGCTCCCTACAGCAGCCCACCTGCCACCAACCTGCAGAGCACGGCGAAGGGCATGGGAGGGAAGCTGAGTCACGGCAATTCCGGGATCAAGAAACCAAGTCACACTGACAGAATAACTAACTGGCCAGACATTGAGACATTGAGACACCTAAACTACTAAGCGTGGAACCTCCCACAGCCGTCTGAGGGACAACCGCCGTGTCCACTCATGTTCGCTGTGCCCATTTCTTTATCCCTTATGCCTCCCCCGCAGGCCTCTCCCATTCCTGCCTGAGTCCCCCAAGGGGCCGAACCTCTTCTAGCTGCTTCTTCCCCAAAGGCCAGCACCCTTTGCTTGGCTTAGAGACAGGTTCTCTACAAGTGCCATCTCTCTGATGACCTCCAGGCAGGAACATGGCTGCGACAAGGGTGCACAGGCGTGCACTGCACGCACACACGCACACATGCTCAGCAGTGCATACACACTCATCAGCACAGATGTGCCACGACTGTGCCTAGTGCCATGGCCATGGTGCCTGCAGAAAGGGAGGGGGCCCCTACACAGCCAGGGGCCTGCTCATCTGCACAGGAGACAGGAGGCGGGAAGGCAAGCCAGGCTCAGTCTGACCCGGAGAGCAAGGGAGCGTCTCTGCTCTCTCGTGGTCCGCCCTGTGGCCAGGCCAGGGCCAGGCTCTCCTGCCTCCCTCCCCAGGAGCTGACCTTCCCCTGCCCACTGCAGCCTTTAGCCCTGGCTGGGCACTGCCCAACCTCTAAGATTGCTAACTCCTCCAAACATGCTTCTTCCACATGCCTGAGGCTCACCTGTCCACAGGAGCCTGGCCCCCCCACCTTTTCTCATCACAGAAGCTCCCCAACCTCCGTCCCAACACCAAACACTTGCACAGACATTTTTGGAAGCTGCATCAAGTCTCTAGAATCAAGCCTAGAATCTCTTGGCTCACAAAAAAACATTTCTGAAAAGCTGTGTGTAAAATCAACATATTGACTTCTCACCCTGACTGACTCACAGGTTTTGCCTGGGGAGGGGCCTGGAACCACCCCGAGGCCCCGGGAGTAAATTCCAGGGCTGAGCCAATCCCACCCACAACGTGAGGGCTGTGCCTGGCCGTGCCCTGCCATGCTCACACTGGGAGAAAGCTGCGGTGCAGCTCTGCTCCACGGCTCCTGCAGGACAGGGGAGCCCCGTCCTCTCCTCACGGTTCTGGGGGAGGGGCCCCCAAGGAGGCCTCCGGAAGGGGGGCCCTGGTGAAGGCCCTGCCGCAGCCCATGGCCACCCCACCACCCACTCCCAAGAGCCTTACGCAGCAATGGAGATGTTTGCAGCAGACATGGGGCTGACTTCAGCCACCTCCTTGGCCTTCTGCAGAGCGAGCTTCTGATTGGCTGCTTCCTCCATCTCCTCTTCATCCTGTTTGAACAACAGAAGCGTCCAGCTCCCCTCAGAGTATGGTGGCCCCTCTGACACTGTCAGCTCTTCCTGCTGGGGGCCGTGACCCTCCCACCCTCTGTTCCATGGGTCCGGCAGCCTGCCCCTGCATGAGCATGGCCCACCCTGGGCCCAGCTGAGCACCCCGTCCACACGAGCTCTCTCTGGCGCTCTTCAGGACCTCCCCTTTCTATGTCTACAGCTCAAAGGTGACAGTCCCCAAGGCTCCTGCCTCGGAACCCCTCACTGGTGCCACGTCCCAGGGTGCTCACAAGCTGATGACTCCACAACTATGCTACACCCCGTCCCAAGCGCCAGCCACTGCCTGGACACTTCTGCTTGTTTGTACCATGGCACCTCAGACTTACCCATCACAGTGCAAATCTGTCCCTGCTTCCGTCCCATCTTCCAGGAGCACCTGTCACACTTGAACAAAGCCAGCCTCTCTGCAAAGCCATGAGCAAGGGCAAGGGGCAGAGCCCTGCACCCTGTGGCTGGGTCCTGGCCCAGCACTGCCTTCAAGAGCTATCACCAGGAGTATGTGCAGGGGGACCATGCACCATATTTGAGCATTTCTACCTGGACCCATCAGATCAGGTCTGTCCACCTGTCCCCAGCTGTGACTGTGAGAAGCCCCTGCCTGTCTCCCCCACACCTGGATGGCCCCTGGAAGTGCCTGGTCCTGTGCTCCACATGGCTGTCTGCCACCGGGCCAGACATGAGCACATGTGAGCAGACGTGGGTGCAGACACCCTGCCCTGCCTCTGCCCAGCCCTGACCCCCAGTCACTAAGCAAAACCAACATTCTGTGCTCCTGGGTTCCAGATAAATAGCTCCAGGTCAAGTCCACAAGCCCCAGATGAGAGGCTAAGACCCCACATCATCCATCCGACTACTGGGGTCACCACTGTTTCCTCAAAAACCCCAAGCCCAGGCCCACCTGGTTCCCTTGCAAGCTGATGCTCCCAACATTGTCCAAAATGTCCTTGAGTCTGCTTTTAGGGGCACGATAATGGCAAAAACTAAATCCCCTGTTAGCTGCCTGCAAATTCCTCACCCTAGAGAAGAGGCCTTTAAGCTTCAGGCCCAGAGAGGAGGCAAAGCTGGATCTACCACAAAACACCCACACCCAGGCCCTTCCTCAGAGCACTGGGTCCACCCTGGTTTACAGCCCTCTGCGGCGGGGATGTGGCTGATCTCTCCAGGGAGTGCTCTAAAGCCCCCCAAAAGTCTACAAACAGGTTCGACGTGAATGTGTTCCCACTTCAGAAAGTAAACAATGCTGGGACACATCCGTGGGGGCACGAAGGAGGACAGAGTCCAGTCCTCCCCCCTGGGGCTCTGGCCAGCATGCCCCATAGCCACACAGACAGGCCTCCAGTGGCCCTAGTTCCTAAGGCAAGGGAATTCCTAAATTAGGGCAGCTACACCAGAGGGGCAAGCACTGAGGGTGTGTGCACACAGACACAGGTCCCCGAGGACACCCTTTTCCTGTTGTACCCTCACTCACAGCAGAACCTGAAAAGACAGTGGGGACTTCAGAGCTCACGTTCACCCCTGCCCCGGGACAGCTGGCGCTCAGGTCACCAACACTACTGGGCACCTCAAGTTCATACAGTCCCAGAAATCGTGACACCAGGAATGGCTCTGTGTACACATGGATCCCCCAGCCCGGCCGCGGCCTCAGGCTGTTCTCCGACCACTCCTGGATGCCAAGACTCAGTCCATGCCCAGGCTGAGGACAGAGCCAGGGAGGAGCCTAGACCCACCGGGACAGCCACGGCCCAGGCCTGGGCATGGGAGGAGGGAGGCTGAGCAGAAGCCGAGGAGGCTCAGGCTGTGGCAGGCCACTGCACGGGCCACACCCTCCTGCCCAGAGCTGGTGGGGGGTGGGGCAGGGACACCGGCACAGCTCACACTCTGTTAGAAGCACCGTGACAACCCTGCTCAGAGCAGGTGTGTGCCGACACACAGAGCATGCACATGGGACACTGACAACATGGTACACGCCGAGCCAGACGGCAGCGCCTCCCACACCAGGTGCTGGGGCTCGAGTCAGAAGGCAAGGCTGACGCTGAGACAGCAGGTGGCCTGGCCGCACCGTGTCCGGGGCTGTGGGGGTGAGGGTGACCAGGGACGGGGCTGTGTCATCCAGGGGGAAACCACAGAGGGAGACGTGTGTCATCATGTCCCCCACTGGGCTCAGGGATGAGACGAGTATTGAGTGGCACCTGCTGGGTGCTGCCTGGAGAGGAAGCGGCCCTGCTGTGGCACAGACTCGCTGAGACAGGGCCACCAGCTGTGTCTCAGGCACCAGCCGGGCCCAGCATCTGAGGGCAGCACTGTAGTGTCCCCCACAGCCCTTCAGAGTCTTCAGAGCAGGACATGCACCTGAGGGTCACCTCCCCCGCATCACAACCTGCACTGAGCGATGCATCCCGTGCCCCTCGCTCCTGCGGCCGCAGCTCTCCAGGCTGCGCCTCCTGCTCCCACACCCCACCCTGCCCGTCCAGGCCATGCTGCCCAGGCCTGCCCACGTGTCCTGCTCCCTCAGCTCCATCCCCCACACACCTGAGAGCAGCCCAACCTCCGCCTGCCCACTCCCCTGGGCAGTGGTCACACGGGGCCCTAACCCAGGACCTGGCCCTCCTCGTGATTCCATGACCTCATCCAGAGCCACATGGACAGACCCCAGCCCCTCCCTGCACCCAGGCTGCAGGCGGTGTCCCCACATACCTTGGTCAGCTCCTGGGCATTGGCGAGGTTGTCCACGGCGATGGCCAGGAAGACATTCAGCAGGGTGTCTGGTTGGCTCCAGCTAAGGAACGAAACCCTTGTGCCCCCACACTACGCCACACCATCACCTCCCCAGATCCTGACCAGCCCCCAGTCTCCTTCCCTGGGTACCGCGCAGGTCCCTGTCATCCCCAGATGCCCCCCAGACCAGCCTCCAGGGCCCTCTCTCGCCCTGGCCCCTGCTCACTGCCACCTCCCCCCTCAGTCCTCCTCCACTCAGTCTCATGTCACCAACCTCCCCAGACGCCCACGTGACCCACTCCCACAGCCCAGCTGCTCGGGGCAGACTTTCTGGGCCCAAAGCTCAGAGGCCGTTGGATCCACTCCCTCCGCCTCCTAGAGAGGCACAGTCCCCTGCTTCTGTCCCCACCACGCCCCAACACACACCTCCAGCCCTCCCAGGCTCTGGATGGGGCCCACCACCTTCTGTGTCCTGTGAGCAGAGGCCACCTGAGACAGGCCGTACACACACAACCCAGCCGTGACCGGCACACTCCAGGCCCCAGGTCAGAGGCAAGGCTCACAGACACCTGCCCGGGGCTGTCCTGCCCCTTCCTTTCCCACAGGGAGTTCTGGGCTCCTCTCCGATGACGTGCTCCCTGTCTGGAGCCACAGGAACTGCGTGCAAGCCGAGAGCACGGCAGGCAGCAGAGCTGCGCACCCAGCAGCCCCACACCCTCTACCAGTGAGGAAACCGAGGCCACAGAGGGTGAGTCACCATCGGGTCCCGGTGCAGTGCAGGCTCTGTCACTGACCCGAGTCACTGAGCTCTTCCTTGCAAGAGGACCTCTCCTAGGCTGGAAGCCACCTTTCCGTCAGTTCCACCCACCGCCAAGCAGCACATCTCCAGAACTGCGCCTGCCACACGGCCACCCTCCGGGCGTGACTCAGCGCTGTTCCTGCCAGACCCGGCCACCCAGGGTGGCCCTCCGAAGTTATCTCTTCACTCTGGCCTTCCCGACCCCGGCACGGTGGACATCCCGGGCTGCAGAACCCTGGCCTCTGTCCACTCGATGCCAGCAGCCCCTCTGCTCAGTCCTGACACCCAAAAATGTCTCAGGCACTGCCAAATGTCCTCCGGGGGCAGAGTCGCCCTTGTTGGAACCCTGTGCTCCAGGCAATTGAGCCCCTTTCAGGCAGGCCTGGGGACTCATCCTGCCCAGGCTACAGCTGCAGTCCCCGTGGCTTGGCCTCTGCCAGGCCCAAGTAGCAGCTGGCTCTGTATGAGTCCAACAGGGAGGACCCTGGTAGGTCAGGCCCCTCTCTGCAGGACAGGTGCCCCTCCGTGGGATTAAGAGGAGCCTGTAACCAGGGCACTGCCTCATAGGCAAGTCTGCTCAGGGTCCCAGCAGAGCCCACAGGACAGGATCCTGAAGCCAGACTGACCCCAAGCAGGACACCTCCAGGCACTAACCACAGCCATGAATACCCTTGGAGGCCTTTGCATGCCCAGAGAGCAGGACTAAGGGCCATGCCCCTTGGAATCCAGCCAGAGGGACACACGGGCACAGCCGGAGTGGCACTGGACGGCAAGGGGGACGCCTGAAGGCTGAAACAAGCATCAGTGCTGTCCCAGGCGCGGCATGCCTTCTGGACACCAGCCGTCCAGTCTGTGGCCAACACTGCAGCCTCTGTCCCTCTCTGACAGCCATGGCTGCACTTCCTTATTTCCTGCCATGTCAACCCCAGGCCCACCCACCTCCAAAGCAAATGTTGCCCCCCAAACCCCTGACTCCCCCTTCCTAGGCCTCACACTCAGTTTCCTGGGAAGTTTAGATCCTCCCACCTGGGATCCAGGACCTGAGCTGCAACCTGAAGGACCCCTCCATGGCTGCACATGGGGCTGAGACCTGGCGAGTCCCTGCTGGGGCCAGCCCAGGAGAGACAGTGTGAGGGAAGAGGAAAGAGGGAGACCAAAGCCAAGGGAGACAACGCCTGAGGTACGGAAGGTCCTCGATGGACGGAGACATGAGGATGGACAGCGTGAAGTGGCCGCTACGAGAAACTGGGCCACGTGAGAGAAGGTGGGGCGGGCAGGTCGCCTGTGGGACAACAGCTCAGCCCTTGCTCCTGGGCTCTGCGGGACGTTCCTCACAGCGGTTCTCAGTGACATGTCCAGACCAGCAGCGTCAGCCCCTCCTGGAGCCCGTTAGATGCGCACGCTCAGGCCTCCCACAGGCTGGGCCAGGGCGGGATTCAGGCTCTAACAGCCCTCCAGGGCCTCTGATGCCCGGGTGAGTCTGAGAACCAGATACGCCCACATTCCCACCGCGCTTCTCATGGCCCTCGCCCTCCCTGCACCGTGAGCCCTTCTGGATTTCCCTTGGCCCCAACCCTTTCCCGTTACGGCCCCTGCCCGAGGCTGAGCTCGTCACTGCTGCCGCGCTCCCCCCAGCCCCACCTCTGAAACGAGGTCCCAAAGTAAAGCCCACCTGTCATCCCCACAGAAGGCCTTTGATAATTTCTCTGCAAAGGCTACATTTTCAGGAAAAAAGATTTAGTATTTTTTAAAGCCCAGCGCCAAAACTTAATTACTGAATTAACTCAAAGTGAAAAAGAAAACTTGCTGCACCCATGTGGACGTCCCCATCTTCCTGTGAAATCCCAAGACCGCCGCCCAGAGCCCTTCCTGAGCCCACTGCTGGCCACACCCCCCCCATCCCACCTCTGGACCCCCCACATGCAGCTCATGTCACCCTGAGCCCCTGCAGCCTCCAGACCCTCGTGCTCGGGCCACTCGAGAACTTCCACCATCTGGACTTAACTCTGAGAAGGTGCCTCTCATGCTCGTGGCTGAAACGCCCAGCGCTCCTGGGGGAGGCCAAGAGGTGGCCACCGGGAGAGAGTGCCAGGCACTCACCCCTGCACCCAGCCCCACAGAAGGATACAGTTTCCAAACAGTGTCAGGACAATGAAGTAGAAGGACGAAAACATGCCTTTGCTGACGCCCCCTTGGGATTCGATGCCGTGATACATGACTGCATTCCAGTCCTCTCCGGTCAGGATCTGCGGGGACAGCAGCGCTGCAGCTGTAGCCTTCCCTCCGTGGTGCACGCCACGGCCCGGGCCACGCATGCATTCCACGGGTGGCGGCCCAGGGGCCTCCAGAAACCTTCCAGAAGGACATGGCTGCCGAGCTGGGGCAGCCTTAAGTGAAGAATATGCTTAGGTTTCCTGCCACGGGTGGAAAGGGAGCTCTGAGCAGAAGGTGAGCAGTGCCGGGGGAGACGGCCAGCTTGGCAGGGGCAGGTGCAGCGAGGCTGGGGAGGACACAGCGCTGGGGTGCCAGCTGCCCCAGGCCACACGGCAGCAGCTGGGCCTCTGACCCTCCAGGCTCCTGTCACCCTCACACCTGGCTGAATGAAAGCCCTGCCCGTCAGGAAGCCCACGTCTCCCTTTTCCACTTTTATTTTTGGAGAAGTACAAGAGGCTAAAATAAAAGACACTCACGTATGCACCACCCAAAATGGAAACGGTTAACATTTTGTCCCATTTGCATGGGTCGCACTGCTCGTGACCAACCGAGTCTCTACCGTTCCACACACACGTGTCCACAGACAACGCAGCACGTGTGCTGAGCACGCACAGGGTGGTGACAGGCCATGCCTGTCATTCTTCAGCTGACGTTTCCATTCAGTCTTGCATCTCTGAAGTTCATCCACGTTGGCTCATGGAACATCTACTTATCCACGCAAACCCCTGCATAGCTTCCTTCCATTTATTTATCTGTTTTCCTCCTGATAGGCACTTTCAGAGGCTGCCAGGGTTTTGCTCTCTCCCACGTCTCTTTGTGCACACGTGAGTCTGTCTAGAGCTGAGACTGCTGGACAGTAGGCCAGGCACATCTTCAATGTTGTCACGTTTCCAGAGTGGCATCCCAAATCATACCTGCGCCACCAGCACACGGGTGTCCCCACGTCCCCACACCACACTTGGTGTTGTCCCACGCTTTGATGGCTCAGCCGGGCAGGGGTGGAGGGCAGGAGGGTGAGGCTGAGCGTTTTCTCTCCTGGCCGGGGGCCCTTCCGTCTGCCTGTGCCCTGCTCCCAACAACCTGGTCCCTATTTCCGATGCCTCCTCCTCGTCTCACTGACTCGTGAGACTTCCTCATGTAATTCCTGTACGTACGAGTCCTCTATCTGTAATATCCACTGGAAATACCTTCTTTTAGTCCATTTGCTTTTAACTTACTTTTGTATTATAAGGAAGTTTAATGTAGTCAGATTTATCAGTCTTTTCCTCTGTGGTTTCTACTTTTTGCACCTTGTTTAAGAAATTTCTCTCTTGGGCCGAGCCCGTGGCGCACTCGGGAGAGTGCGGCGCTGGGAGCGCGGCAACGCTCCCGCTGCGGGTTCAGATCCTATATAGGGATGACCGGTGCGCTCACTGGCTGAGCGCGGTGCAGCTGGTCACGAAAAAGACAAAAAAAAAAGAAAGAAAAGAAAGAAATTTCTCTCCATCCCAAGGACATAAAGATATCTTCTTATATTTTCTTTGAACTGTTTTTAAGTTGGATTTTTCACATTTAGATTTCTAATCCTACCGGAGTTCTGTGCATGCATGGAAACAACAATCTAATTTATTTCCATATGGAAAGCCAACTTTCCCAGACCTGTTTTTTTTTTTTTCCTTTTTGTCTTTTTAACTGACCGGTAACAGGATCGCAACCCTCAGTGTCGCGCCTGTACCGGGACCGGCAACGGGATCAGAACCCTTGGTGTTGCGCCCACACCGCGCTCAGCCAGTGAGCAGGAACTGGTCTCCACATGGGATCCGAACCCTCGGCGGGAGCGCCACCGCACTCCCAAGCAGCGCACTCTCCAGTGCGCCACCGGCCCGGCCCAGACCTGTTTTCTGAATAATCTGTCTTTCCCCCATTAATTTATAATGCCATCTTTCTCATATAGCCGATTTCATATATTTGCTTGGGCATGTTTCTGGGCTCTCTGGTCTGTTCTTACTGAAGCTTTATAAAAAGTCTTGCTATTTGGTGGGGCAAGTCTCTCTTTCCTGAATTGTCCTGGCAATTTTTAGATACTGACTCTTCCACGTAATCAATATGCTGAATCTCAAAAGCTGGCCTGTTGGAATTTAGATCAGGATTGCATTTAATTCATAAATTAAATTTGGGAGAACAGATACCTTTACCATTTTCAGGTTTCCCATTTATGAATATATCTCTCCGTGTACTCAGCTCCTTAGTAAACATTTTGTCATTCCTCCCACAGAGGTCTTGCCTACCATTAGATGCATTTCTGGGTACCTGACAGCTTTTGTTACTACCGTGAATGAGACCCTCCCTTTTAAATAAACTTTCTAGTTGAACAATGTTGTTAGATGGAAAAGCTGTGTTTTGTACACTGATCATACGTCCAGCAACACTAGTGAATTTTATTATTTCTAATAGAGTCTCTTGGATTTTCTGTGTAAGTCATCACATCATTTGCAAATAA